GCAGCTGACGGACTCAGAGCGTAGAGGGAGTTTTTTTAACTTTATCTATTGTGAACGTACAAAAGGAGGAACATAGATTAAATATAAGAACCCCTAACGGGCAGAATATGACCTCTTTAAAGACAACAAGTGGGCAGACAGACTCTCTGGTCGAGGGTCTGTACTTCACAACTATCAGCGTTAGCGTAAGCTGAAAGCTCGACTAGCGTACAGGTAGCTAGCAGGATTATAAACGCCACCTGGTGGACACAGAAGGTACTAAAAGAGCGACACACTGACTGCACATGAAGACAGTAGAAATGTTTATTCTGTGCTGTAAAGACATTAAATAGTCTCTCCCTCCTGTCTCCACATAAATATATTTTCTGACAAAGTATTCCTCACATCGCACTCTGCCGTCCACACACACACACACACACACACACACACACACACACACACACACACTCTCTGGACGCGCTGAGTGTGATGTATGCGTCTGGTTATCTTGGGAAATAAACTGTTAAAACGCAGCAGAAATAGATTTCTCACAGACTGGATGTGGAGTCATAAATCTGAGTGAGACGATGGCGGTGGCGGCGGCGACTGAGGTGTCTCCGGGTTGTCAGCTGAGGTCTCGGCTCGACGGGAACAGTTGGGGGTTTATTTATTTACGTGTGATTTCACCCAGAATCCATCTGGCCTGACTGACTCTCACTGTGAAGATCAACACATAGACATGCAGACAGACGTGTGGTTAAATACGTGCAAAAGTAAAGCCGGCGGGGAGATGAACTACGGTGGCTGACAAGGTTTTAACGCACTGCAAAAGGCAGAAGGTTTTTCATAATGAAGGGAAAAGTGCGAGATATCGGAAAAGACGCCGTTTCAAAGGCGTGAACAAGAATTCTCATCAGGCACAACTAAAGACGCACGCTGCAAATGATCAAACATGGTGCAGAAAACATGATCAAATAATGCAAAGTCAAAAACACACAAATCAAGGACACTAATGCAACAGAAAAACGTTGCATAATAAAACTGTAACGGTTCAAAACCAGACTCAGTTGCAGAGGAAAGTCCAGGACACAAAAAGCAGATCGTAAGAAAAATAATTCTTTACTGAACAGTTTGTTGGTCAAACACAAGAAGACAGTCAGCGAGGGCAGAAAAACCCAAGAAGGGCAAATCCACAAAATCCAAAAATCCAATCAAAGGTCAAAACCGGGCAAGGTAACACAGGGTGAATAAATCTGGAGGGCATGAAACACTATGACAACCTGGCAGAGGACTGGTGGAAACACAGGGGTTTAAATACAGGTCGGACATGTGAGAGATGAGACACAGGTGTGTTGGAACAAAAGGTGAGAAACAGAACAATGACAGGAAGTCAGACTAGAATTCAAACACAAGCAGCCACACAACAAAACTAAAACAGGAAGTGAACATAACATACAAGAAAAACAAAACACAACACCCATGAGGACCTTCAGCTTTAGGTTGAACCTTTACACTTTTAGAAGTAGATTTTTATATTCCATACTACAATCTGAATGGTCGCTAAATTAAGGTAAATGTAACAGAGCACAAAAGTGAAGTGAGACTGAAATCTGCTTTAAAAGAAACCAACAAACACCGGACACGCTCACGAGTTAAAGCTGACCCAAACACCACGCTCCTCCTTCCATCTGATAAGAACTTTCATCTTTCATCTTTGTCCCCGTTTAATCTCTTTTTTACCCCAGAAGACCTTTTTTTTTTCTCTTCTCTGCTTCTGTGTAACCTGTGAAGAACATCCTGTTCCTCATTTCACTAATTCCCTCCCCGGAGGAAAAACCAGATCACATTGTTTACAGTTTTTATAATCTTTCTAAATTCAGCGCCGCGCACAGAGTCGGAGTCAGAGAGAGGATTCAGGCAGAGCTTACTTAGAGATGATTTATTCTGTGAGTCTTTAAAGGAGCAATATGTAGAGAGTGAGATGATAAAGGTATCTTACTATCTGATCAGACATTAAGGAAACATGCTATGTTGAAGTGCTGGCTTCTCTGACAACAAAGCAGCAGCCAGTATGTCCTCCTTCTAACTTTAGATTCTGCTCCTGAATGCTCTGGATTTGTTTGGACCAGAGAAGGTAGGCGCTTTTAAGACACGCCCCCACACGGCCGTTTTGGACGCCCCTCAGTTTGTCAGATATGAGAGCAGTTATCAGGTCAACAGGTGTTGCAGTGATGGAAGCAGCAAGAGAAGTGGTTCAGATAGAAGTGATTGTACCCGACCTAAAAAGCCTCTGCATGTTTCTAATAAGCTCCACGAGCAGAAACGTGCTCAAACTAGGATCAATATTGGAGATGCTTTTGAAAAATGGAGAGAGGTTAGAACACAGAAAGGTTTACAGACCCATGCAGAGCTGGATAAACACTGAAGCTTCAGAGTCCACCACATGGTGACCTGAGTGAGGGGGGGGGGGGGGGGGCAGCTCTCTGCAATGTTTAGAATTTGGACTGCAGTACCCATTTTAAACACTAGGGGTCTGAGTTACAGAACCGGAGAGCGACCTGGGAGAAAAGTGTTACAGAGAAACCTGTAGCTCACAACTCATAGCTCTCTCACTCTCTCTCTCACTCTCTCTCTTGCTCTCTCCTCTCTCTCGCTCTCTCTCTGTCTCTCTCTCTCTCTCTTTCTCTCTCTCTCTCTCTCCTCTCTCTCTCCTCTCTCTCTTTCTCTCTCTCTCTCTCTCTCTCTCTCTTTCTCTCTCTCTCTCTCTCTCTCTCTCTCTCCTCTCTCTCTCTCTCTCTCTCTCTCTCTCAGTCTGGGTGGGATTTTAGGAACTGGTATGTGATGCATGCAGATGCTGCAGGATTTAACACTGCATCTGATTAACCCACTTTTTCAAGCTCCACATGCTGTGTCTGTGTCTGTGTCTGAAATATTAAAGATCAATCCAAAACACATCAGAGCAGCAGAAACATCTGCAGAAAGAGCGTACTCATTCATCGTTATGTTCACAGACTGATGGTCTCTGTCCCTAAAGTAAGTCCAGCTCAAATCACCTTCATATTTACCCTCAAAGGTTTCTCATTCTAGAGGGTCCTTCTGTTACTTTTCTTAAGACATAAAAAGAGAAATAGTTTTCTGTGGGGTTTGATAAATAAAACACATGCTTCATGACTTCGAGGCCTCCTGTGGTTTCTTATGATGCCATTAGTCTCATGAATCAAAACAAATTAACCTCTCAAAAAAGCAGTGTCTTTAATAGACTCACCCAAACAAACGTGCATGAAAAAGCCCCGAACGCTCCACTTTCTCTCCTCGTTTCAATTATCTTTCTTAATGGCGGTGAGCTCAAAGCGAGGGCGGAGAACATTTCTTTAAAGACTCTCTTTAGAGACTCCCTGAGCCTCAGATCACACACGCAGTGAGTGAGTGAACACCACCTCTTAAAAGTCTGAGAGCCGCAGTGACGGAGCAGAGAGATCCAGGTGGAGACGCCACGCCATGACCCGAGGTTCTGACCAATGAGGAGGGACGAAGGAGCGGCATCAGGATGGTCGGCATGCAGACAGCGGCAGAGAGGAAACTTCAGACTGAAGAAAAAGTTTAGACAGAAACGTGCATGCTGGGTAAAAAACGAGTTGCCTCGTGTCCTAGTATGCAAACTCAACTTTGACCTCTTCTCAGTGGATCATTCAGGGAAAAACACATTCACACGGCGGTTGAGGATGGATGAGTGCGGCGGTGGTTTAGGGGACGACCGATGGAGGTGGCTGAGCATCAGGCGCTGTTTGCATTAAAAAGTAAAAACTCATCAGCTACATCCACTTAACAAACTTTCACTTTTTTTTTTTCCTCTAATGAGCTTTGACGATGTCGAACAAATCAGAGACTTCGTGCAGATTATGAATGAGTGGGAATCCCTCAGCGCTGCACAGCCGCTGAGCTCATTCATCACGGCTGCCTCAGAGGGACAGCACAGTGTGTGTGTGTGTGTGTGTGTGTGTGTGTGTGTGTGTGTGTGTGTGTGTGTGTGTGTGTGTGTGTGTCCGGGGTAAAGAGAGAACACTATCAGGATGTTTTAGGATCAGGGTGCGCTACAATTCTTGTCGTAGAGACGTAAAACAAAGTGATTCCGCACAGTTTGGAGGAGAGACAGTATCAGTACAGTGAAGGTCGGAGGGAATCAGCTGATCTTTAAATCTCTCAGGTGAACTCTGAGGTGAGTCCAGGTCAAAGCGTGTAGATCCCTCCTGAGCTCACAGGATGAATCTGTCAGCCGGGGGGGAGAGCAGAGCAAACTCTCATGTGGAGCTCAAACCGGATTGTTTCAGTTCCTAACACCTCGCTTTGTTCTTCTGTTTTTGAAAGAAAAAAAACTCACCTGGGGGCGTTCAGGTGGACTCCGTCCCTTTCTTCGCACTGGAGAAGATTTATTTGTTGTCTGTGGCAATCTGGATATCAAGGTTTCTGTTTATTCCACTTCCTGTTGTTGTCGTTGTTTTTTCTGCCTTGTTAATTATGGCGTTGTTTTTTTCCCCTCCCTCGAGTTGTTTTTTGTTTCCTGTCAGCAGTTCACTACAAAGTTCATTTTCTAGAAAAAAAACTCCCTTTTGCACTTTTTAAGACGAGAAAATATGAAGTCAGGCTGTGCAATATGTCGCATTGAAGTAGTCTAGTCTAACAACGATGATTTTAAATGCATTTTAAATGTGTAAAATAAAATAAAAATAAAAAGGGGGGAGGTGATAAAGAAGTTTGAACGACTTAAGCTAACTGAGCATTCTTTATTCTATTCTATGCCTGGGGACTTTTTAAAGATATATAGAGTCCTGTGATTGGCTGTCATCCTCATAAAAGACTTCAAGTCGTTTGTCATCAGTGGGTGGAAACCTTCAGAACCAGTGGATTCTGTCCTTTAACCTTGATGACACCACGATGCACACATGACCTCGGGTATGGAAATGAATTATACGCATGTATATGTGAAAGCATGCATATCATGTATTAATAATCTGTATGTTGACCTTCGACCTCTGGACCCTCCACATATCTCCGCATGTCTCAGTGTGTCGTCGTCTATCGCCTGGCTGATGAAAACTTGCTTTAGAGCTGCGTCGTGTTTTTCCTGCCTGAACTCGTACGACTCGTTGATATCCATTTAATTTACAAACATCGTGATCCATATTTAACGACCTTCCCAGCGGCTCCGTGTTCAGCGCTGCGCCTGAGAGTTCACTCTTTGTTTGTGAATGTTCTTTTCTTCAGTCACGTTGTAAATGGTTTTTCGCTCTTATCTCCAGCAGCTGTTTCTGCAGCTTCCAGAATGTCTTTGTGTTTCCACATGAGTCTGTAACCCAACATGTTTCAGAATCAGTCATCAGCTGCTCAGAGACGACTTCTTTAATGTCACTAGTCAGAGAGCTCATTGGATGGTTCCCAGTTCAGTGTGTTCACATGCTCTTAGTTTGAAAAGTCTGAATGTTTGTAACAACAACAAAAATCAAAAAGAAAGTATGTTATCATGAAAGGAAATACTAGGCTGCTGCACTGTTGTCAGAGAAGCCAGCACTTCAACATTCCTTAATGTCTGATCAGACAGTAAGCTCACTGATTGGTCCTTTAATGCATCATGTCGAGGTGTTGATATCTGTGACGTCTGCTGGCCTTATTATTGCTTCATCCCTCGGTCTCAGGCTAAATGAAACCACTAATCCTCAGATAGTTTTACATCAACAACTTCTCCAAAATGTTTGACCTACATAGATTAAAATCCGACAAGCTCCAAAGCGTTTTAGTGAAAATAATAAATTCTGGGATTTGAATTGAATAAAGAAAAACCTCGTCTTCAAGTGAATAAAAGGATGAAATGTCAAAGGAAGTTTTTAAAAAGCTGCTCACCAGAGTTCAGCCGCAGTTCAGCTTCACCTGAGGAATCTCAAGTTTCACCACCAAGATCCCAAAAACCTTCAACATGTGTCGCTTCAGTCAGCCTGCTGCAGACACCTCCCTGAACACTCCTCCAGCTCACATGTTCACTCTCATAACTCAAAGAATTAAAAGCTTTTACTGAGCATGATCGTGTTTTATTTAAGGTTTGAGTTTCTGGATTTTGTTTGATCAGGTGTTTCCTGTTCAGACCTTTTCATTTGGCCAATAACAACCTTCCACTCCCAGCCTACAACAGCCAATGAGAGCCTGAGCCTGACCTTTCTTGTAGCCGATGATATTCTGAACATGTGGATGTGCTGAGTGTGGATGGGTGCTGAGTGTGGATGGGTGCTGAGTGTGGATGGGTGCTGAGTGTGGATGGGTGCTGAGTGTGGATGGGTGCTGAGTGTGGATGGGTGCTAAGTGTGGATGGGTGCTAAGTGTGGATGGGTGCTGAGTGTGGATGGGTGCTGAGTGTGGATGGGTGCTGAGGACGATGGGTGCTGAGGACCGATGGGTGCTGAGGACCGATGGGTGCTAAGTGTGGATGGGTGCTGAGTGTGGATGGGTGCTGAGTGTGGATGGGTGCTGAGGACCGATGGGTGCTGAGGACCGATGGGTGCTGAGGACGATGGGTGCTGAGTGTGGATGGGTGCTGAGGACCAATGGGTGCTGAGTGTGGATGGGTGCTGAGGACCGATGGGTGCTGAGGATCGATGGGTGCTGAGTGTGGATGGGTGCTGAGGACCGATGGGTGCTGAGGATCGATGGGTGCTGAGGATCGATGGGTGCTGAGGACCGATGGGTGCTGAGGACCGATGGGTGCTGAGGACCGATGGGTGCTGAGGATCGATGGGTGCTGAGGATCGATGGGTGCTGAGGACCGATGGGTGCTGAGGATCGATGGGTGCTGAGGATCGATGGGTGCTGAGGACCGATGGGTGCTGAGTGTGGATGGGTGCTGAGTGTGGATGGGTGCTGAGTGTGGATGGGTGCTGAGTGTGGATGGGTGCTGAGTGTGGATGGGTGCTGAGGACCGATGGGTGCTGAGGACCGATGGGTGCTGAGGACCGATGGGTGCTGAGTGTGGATGGGTGCTGAGGACCGATGGGTGCTGAGTGTGGATGGGTGCTGAGTGTGGATGGGTGCTGAGGATCGATGGGTGCTGAGTGTGGATGGGTGCTGAGGACCGATGGGTGCTGAGGATCGATGGGTGCTGAGGATCGATGGGTGCTGAGGATCGATGGGTGCTGAGGATCAATGGGTGCTGAGGACGATGGGTGTTGAGGATCGATGGGTGCTGAGTGTGGATGGGTGCTGAGTGTGGATGGGTGCTGAGTGTGGATGGGTGCTGAGGATCGATGGGTGCTGAGGATCGATGGGTGCTGAGGACCGATGGGTGCTGAGGACCGATGGGTGCTGAGGATGATGGGTGCTGAGGACCGATGGGTGCTGAGGATCGAGGTGCTGAGGACCGATGGGTGCTGAGGATCGATGGGTGCTGAGGATCGATGGGTGTTGAGGATCCATGGGTGCTGAGGACCGATGGGTGCTGAGGATCGATGGGTGCTGAGGATCGATGGGTGCTGAGGATCGATGGGTGCTGAGGACGATGGGTGCCGAGGATCGATGGTGCCTGAGGACCGATGGGTGCTGAGGATCGATGGGTGCTGAGTGTGGATGGGTGCTGAGGATCGATGGGTGCTGAGGATCGATGGGTGCTGAGGATCGATGGGTGCTGAGGATCGATGGGTGCTGAGTGTGGATGGGTGCTGAGGATCGATGGGTGCTGAGGACCGATGGGTGCTGAGGACCGATGGGTGCTGAGGATCGATGGGTGCTGAGGACCGATGGGTGATGGAGGTAGATGAGGAGGGACAGGGTCATCAGGACTGTGAGCAGCTACTTCTGAAGCAGGAAAACAGATTCATCTAATTGGAGCGATAAATCAAACCTGATGTTTAAAACTTCTTCAGTAGATGATTAGATCACGGATAGGAGCGTCTCGTTAAGAGTGCAAAGACACATGCACCTTCTAAAAGCAGCAGGTATGTACAGTCACTGTGCTTTCACACCTCACATTCTGCAGAGTCATGATGCTCACACACTCTGCAGCCCCGGTGTGATGTGTGGTGATGTTTCTCCTGGGAGCGAGGTGCTGCTGCGTTCGGCATTTTTTTGCTGCCATGGCGACTGAAAGACTGCAGACAGGGGGAATAAAAAAACAACTTGTTTTACCCATTTATCCTCCCTCCCTCCCTCCTTCTCTCCCTCCTTCTCTCCCTCCCGGGCTTGCAGTCATATTTAGAGCGCAGACCTGCTCTCTCCACGGGGAGTAAATGTGGTAATTAGTGCTTTTATTTCACTCAAACGCCGACCGGCTGCAGTTATCGCTCAGCATTTTGTATTTTCTGACGGGAACTTCAAACAAATTCTGTGTCAGAAATCTGCCTTTTCATGTATAACATAATACAAATTAAAGGCAGACTCATGTAACAATTCATTGTTGTAGTTGTGCATTTTTCATCATAATTACTCTCAGTTTTCCTCGTCTTTTAACAAGTTGCTGCTGAATATGAAAGAGCATCTGAGCGTCTGAACGCTGCGAGCTGAAGGCTGCACACAGATGAAAGCGTTCTTCTTCTCTTGTGTGAAGCGTCTGTGAAGCAGGAAGAAGGCACTATGAGCTCCTCGCTGCAGAGATGCAACACCAGCGAAGAAGAGACGAGGTTTAGACGTTTCAGCAAGAGACACATGAGCACAGGTAGGGTTTAAATCCAGAAGGAAATTAGAGCGGGGAATTTACACTAACCAACAAAAGGATATATAGAAAGCTGGCATCAAATGTCAGATCAGAAACCTTTTCTACTTCTTAAAGGTCACATTATGCTAAATCCACTTCACCATGTGTCTCTAACTCTAATGTGTCTCTAGTCTGTCCACAACCCCCCAATCATGAGAAAAGTCCATCCTCTCCGTCTTTTGCCTGCTCCACTTTTCAGAAAATGTGTGCTCAAACAGGCCATTTGGAGACTTTCCCTTCATGACATCACAAAGGGCAGTAGCCCCTCCCCAGGTGGGTGACACTCCCACAGCTAGGTGTTTGTTCTGCCGTCTGAGTCTGCCTTCTCACGTAAACAATAGGACATGGAGTTAGAAAGACCGAGTACACCCAGCCCTTCTAGAGAGGGGGCGTGGTCAGACACAGCTCATTTACATATTTAAAGGTACAGAACACAGAATCAGCGTCTGCAAAAAGGCCGATCAGAGACGGTTCTTCATGAGAAAGCTGAGGAGTTTAAATGTCGACAGATCTATTCCCTAAACGATTTTTTATTCATATTTTAATGAGTCCATTTTAACTTTTTATGATGATCTGTTGGTTTGGTAATCTCAACAACATCAACAAAAAAACAGGCGGGAAATAAAGTTAGAATGAAACTTGAATGAGCCAATCAGAAGCCATATCTGAGGTCTTTTGTCCCATCAGCAGTCGGGTTTCTAAATAAGCTGTAGACGTTAATACTCTGGACTGACGGTTTGTTTGTTCCTCTTATCGTACTCAAGATTTGGGACGATTTGTTCAACCCTGATGTGAAGTATCTTTGTGTTTTCTTAAGTTTCAGTACTTTCTGATACCATGGATGGATCTTTAAAATAAAGAGTCAGAAAGTTTCAAAACAAAAAACAGGAAAAGTTTGTTCTTAACTTTTCACCTCTGCTGGAGACTCGAGCTTTCAGAGACGAGTTTCAGAAAAAACCTTTTTTTGTGAGTCGTAAAAAGTCACATAGAAGCTAAAAAAAAGAAAGTGAAACTCCTCCCCGTCTCTGCAGAGTGTCGTCTCAGGACGGCAAGTAAAACTCTGACGATTCACCTGATTTACACAGAGACACTGAAAGAGAGAAAGCGAGCGCCTGCTGCTCTCAAGGTCGCTCGCAGAAAAGCTAAAGTAAAGAGAGGTGCGCCCGCCGTGTTTCAGACTGCACAGTCACTGCCAGAGGGAGCGTGGGACCCCGTCGGACAGCAGCAGCTGACTCACTTTTTATTGAGAGCGCTGTCGTTCCATACGTTCTCTGCTGCGGGGACTCGTTCTTCATTTACTTGTTGCACGCTCAGTGCTGCAGGAATAAATCAATCTCCCTTTTTTATTTGCTTTCCAGACGGACTTCTGTGTCTTTCACGGACTCTGCAGCGCTCAGAAGAGGAGTGAAGTGAACCAGGGAGCTGAA